TACAGGATACTGGCCCACTTGACGTCTTGATTCCGCATCTTCTGGTCGTAAAAGAGACAGCAGCACGCTTGACAGGTCAAATTCTGTGGCATGGTTTTTAGAATTGGTCCTGGAATTTCAGCTCAAAATCTGTCTCCTTATCCCTATTAATGAGTTTGTGAGCAAAGTTTACAATTTAATAGATCTTTTCTTTTCTCTCTCTTTCCTTCCTTCCTTCGTTTTCTCTTCCTTCCTTCCTTCTTTCTTTCTTATTTATTTCTTCTTTCTTTCTTTCTTTCTTAAGACAGAGTCTCACTCTGTTGCCCGGGCTGGAGTGCAGTGGTGCAATCTTGGCTCACTGCAGCCTCTGCCTCCTGGTTTCAGGCGATTCTCCTGCCTCAGCCTCTCCAATAGCTGGGATTATAGGCACCCACTATCACACATGGCTAATTTTTGTATTTTTAGTAGAGATGGGGTTTCGCCATGTTAGCCAGCCTAGTCTTGAACTCCTGACCTCAAGTGATCCACCTGCCTTGGCCTCCCAAAGTGCTGGGATTACAGGCATGAGCCACTGTGCCCAGCCTTCAATAGATCTTTTTCTATTTGAACTAGCTAGAGAGGATTCTGTTGTCTGTCACTAAAAATCTTAGCTGATCCACTGTATTTTAAATTTTAGTAAAGGACAGCAAAATATTTTGAATAAAATGCTGTCCGTAATCAAGATGATGATGACACACTCCCCTCCTTGATAGAGAAAGGGCTTTGGGTTACTCTTCCAGAAAAGGTAAAAGATGAATACAAATCTATTAACTAATTTCTTGGGAGGAATTAACATTGCATGACTTATATTCAACTAGAGAGACCTGCTTATCTTTCATCAGTGCTACTGCACAGTGGATGACCTAACTCCATGTAACTCCCTCTTCCTGAGACAGGGTTTTACTCTGTTGCCCAGGCTGGAGTGCACTGGTGCGACCTTGGCTCACTGCAACCTCCCCAACCCGAGTTCAAAGGATTCTCCTGCCTCAGCCTCCCGAGTAGCTGGGAGTGCACACCATGAGTAGCAAGTGCATGCCACCACACCCGGCTAATTTTTGTATTTTAGTAGAGGCAGGATTTCACCATGTTGGCCAGACTAGGCTGGTCTAGAACTCCTGAGCTCAGGTGATTTACCTGCCTCGGCCTCCCAAAGTGCTGGGATTACAGGTGTGAGCCGTAGCACCCAGCCCCTCTTTCTTTATAAATGTGAGAATTGCCAAAAAGAAATGTCAGAGCTTCTTCATTCCTCTCCTATTATCCAACAAGACACATTGATTTCCTGATGTTGGTTGGTTGCTTTTTGGGTACAAATAAAAGAAGAGAGACACAAGGCACTGTTTTTTTTTTTTAAACCACCTATATGGCAGATTTCATTCAATAGCCACAAGAAAGACTGATTTGAAAACTTATGCCTTCCCGAGCCCCTCACCTTTTATATTTTTTTCTGAAACTTTCACACTTAAAAACAATCATTTGAAGATGTAAATAAAAACCAAATCAAATAGTGCATGTGTTTAAGTCATTTATTTAAGTACAGGCATTGTTTTAAATTTGCACCTTGTCTTGTAACACATTTCATACCCAGAGAACAGGTCTGAGAACAAGTATGTAAAAGGATTATTTGACAAAGTTTTAACGAAAGTGCTTACAGCTTATTTGTTTCAGATATACAGAATCGCCAGTCACAAAGAGCCACTAAGTGGCAATACATTCACAAACTTGCCTGGGAAGTAAAATATTTTACATATTTACACTGTACATTTAAATGGGATACTCTGAAGCATTATCATTATCAATAAACTCTTAGCAAAAAGTTCTCTTAAACCCTATGGCACTTAACAAAGGATATTGATTTTATGGAGGTAAGAGTTTTCCAGTTAATTCCCATCTTTGCCATAACCTAAGTGGATTTTTACTCCCCCCACCCCAGTACCCATATTTACCTCCTACACAGAGTAGCTTGTATTAGCTTATCACCGACCAAACCTTTGTTAATAGCAGTTGGAATTTTGTTGGCATCAATGTATTTACAATGTAAGAGTGAATTATTTAGAGGGGAGTCTCTAAAAATTAAAATAATCTCATTATACCCTGTTTTAAATGGACTTTGCAGTATAAAATTTATGGTTATAGAAATCTAGTATCGAAACAAGTGTGTAATTTATAAGGTACTTATTAGAATTGATTTCCCCATGACTTACTCCATTTACATGTTTATTTTAATAATGATTATATCTTTCAGAAAACAAGTTATGAATATAAAAATGACTATTATAAGTTACCATAGCTATATAAAAAATGAACATTAAAATGCAGCGGCTTATATTTTAAAAATACATAGAAATTTGCTCTACTTCTTTAACGAAGTGCTTTATAAAAGTATAAAAATGTAAAAGGTGCTATTTTCAAGAATTTTATGTTTTCCTGATACTTGAGCTAGACCAACATGCAAACATTACAATAGTGCAATTGAACAACTGGCCATCAATTGCCTTTGAATTTAAATAGTAGATTCCAGCACAGTCTGGGCCTCAAAGCAGTTTCATCCTTACCTAACTTACATAACTGTTAATACAGCCTAAACTCACCAAAAAAAAAGCTGACTTCATTTCACCTTTTGTGCATACACATAGACTCAGAGTATATACTGAAATATAATTTGAAAGCTGATCATTAAAAATGTCAGAGTTAAATTAAAATATTAACTCTGAGTATCTTAAAATTGCATAGAAAATGCAGGCCATGGTTCATGAAAGTTTTACTTAAATAACCAGATGAACAGGCCGGGTACAGAGGATCATGCCTCTAATTCCAGCACTTTGGGAAGTTGAGGCGGGCGAATCACCTGAGGTCAGGAGTTTGCAACTAGCCTGGCCAACATGGTGAAACCCCTGTCTCTACTAAAAATACAAAAATTAGCAGGCACGGTGGTGGGCGCCTGTAATCCCAGCTACTCGGGAGGCTGAGGCAGGAGAATTGCTTGAACCCAGGAGGCGGAGGCAGCAGTGAGCCAAGATTGCACCACTGCACTTCAGCCTGGGCAACAGAGCCAGACTCCATCTCAAAAATAATAATAATCAGATAAATAGAAAAAGAAGAAAGACAGAATTTACAAATATATATTAAATAAGAAATCAAGTGTTATTTATTCTTTACCATACACGTTTGCATTGAAAAGTTCATATTTGATTTTTGAGCTTTTTGAGCTCAGGATTGGTCAGAGCTTGAAGTTTAAAACAGTTGACAGATTTAAGGAATAGCTTTCATGTTAGTTACTTCATCTTCATTAGCTTGGAGTTGCATGGGAACCATGTAAACTAACCCCAGCACTTTGTATCTAAGTAAGGCAATGATTAGAAGGATAATAATAATATAGTTCTTTCTTAAATCTCTGTCAGTTCCAGATCTCTATACACTTCACCAACACCGATCATTATTCTTAGTTTATAATGATGAAACAGGCTAGGTATGAAAAATGGAAAATAAGATTAGGTCATGAAGCAAATATAAATGAAACAAGATAAAATCCACTCCTGTTGACTATCACGGTATTGAGATCAGGAAAGCATGCTCTCTGTAGTTAAAGCAGATTATCTTCGCTGACATCTGTTGGTCTTTATCCTGAATTAGGAGAGAAATCCCCGGAGGTTCTGTATGGCAACTGAAGAGTTAGGAAAGCCAAAATAAATCATAAGTGATTTACTCTAGATAAATTACTGAGAGAATCATAGTGACAGGCCCTTAGGAACTCTGCCTTAGAATTTCCCAAGGGCTTGGTAAATGATCCTGCAGAGAAGACTGAACCCCAGGTTGTAAGATCTGACTTGCTGGCATTTTAGGGACTTGGCCAAGGTTCCCGCTTGATACTGAGGACTAAAATGTCCCACCTGAAAAGAAGTATTCTGCTTGCAATTAAAGAAAATGTGCGCTGGGCACATTGGTACACACCTGTAATCCCAGCACTTTGGGAGGCTGAGGCAGGTGGATAACCTGAGGTCAGGAGTTTGAGACCAGTCTGGCCAACATGGTGAAACTCCGTCTCTACTAAAAAAAAAAAAAAATACGTAAATAAACAAAATTTAAAAATTGCTGGGTGTGGTGGTAAGCACCTGTAGTCCTAACTATTTGGGAGGCTGAGGCAGGAGAATCGCTTGAATCTAGGAGGAGGAGGTTGCAGTCAGCTGAGATTGGACCATCACACTCCAGCCTGAGCGACAAGAGTGAGACTCCGTCTCAAAACAAAAAAAAAGGCTGGGTGCGGTGGCTCACGCCTGTAATCCTAGCACTTTGAGAGGCCAAGCTTGGCTGATTGCCTGAGCTTAGGAGTTCAAGACCAGCCTGGGCAAATGGTGAAAACCTATCTCTACTAAAATACAAAAATATTAGTCAGGTGAGGCAGTGTATGCCTGTGATCCCAGCTACTTGGGAGGCTGAGGCAGAAGAATTGCTTGAACTCAGGGGGTGAAGGTTATAGCAAGCCAAGATGGTGCCATTGTACTCCAGCCTAGATGACAGAGCAAGACTGCGTCTCAAAAAAAAAAAAAAAAAAAAAAAAGCAAAACAAAACAAACAAAAAAAGAAAATGTGAAAATGGACAGCTCTGAGGAAATGGGAAAAACCAGTTGCTGAGAGAGCTGCAGTAACAGTAAGTCAATCTCACGAAGGGATGCCTACTTCCTGTCTCTGCTCCTCAGCTATGTTCTCTTCATAAGCAGAAATCTGTGACCAGGAAACTCTCTGTATGGTGAGGTTGCCTGGCCTAAGTCCTTGGCTTATCTGAAAGCCCTTAATAATCCAGCCCTTAATAATCCCCCACAGTTTCAGAGGAATTTCTAGGACTGCTAATCTTCTGTTGGCTTACTAGGGATTCAGGTCCTCATCTATAACCTCAATAGGTGCTTTGACCATGTGTCTCGTGGGCTCCACTATGGATATAACAGGATGTACTTAGAAAATTCCATTTTTGGGTTTGTTTTTTCCTCTTTGCAATCAGTTTCTCAGGTTAAAAAAAAATTCCTTTATCTTTGTTTGAAAGAGAAAACCACCACCTGAAACTTCCTAAATGTTCATGAGTCAAACAGGATGATAACATTTACCCCATTGTTATTGTCTCTGCGTTTTATTTAATGTCATAAGCATAAGGTGTGGACCCAAAGAACAAATACAGAGTTTTGCAGTTGTGCTGGGTAATGCGTAAGTTTTGTATGTACCTGGGATACTAAGGTTGTAAATCACAAAGATGAAAAATGTTAGGAGGGAAGTAAAGCAGAAAGCCCAAGTCAGACAGTGAATTAGGGATTAAGTGGGAGTGGTGGAAAGGCAGGCTAAGAACATTTACAGAGAGAGAAAAATAGCAGAGACTCTCTCAGAACAAGAATTCTTTGTCTAGCTTTCAGGAAGTGTCTCTACTGGGTGTGGAGGAAAAAAAGGAGATGTGGGACATTTCAGAGCAGACACTGCCCAGACTAGATCTTTTATCCTCCCATGCATGTGCACATATACACCTCAGTTCCATTATAAGCTTTTGGTGGAAAAGGTAAAGTATTTTATTGAAAAAGCCTCACAGTTCTGACTCTTTGTCCTTTTCATCCAGGTAGTATTCATCATCTGTGGTTGTGTCTGTATCACAATCTGAGTCTACTGGGTCGTCTTCATAGATATTAAGTGGTTCACTTGGAGATAAGCCATCTTCTGGCATCTGACTACTGGGAAAATTTGAGCTTAATGACTCTGAGGGGTTGAGAGGGTTCATCGAATCATCTTTCAGGAAGCCCGGGTTCTTAAGAAAACTTGGTTTCCATAATCTTCCTTGTGTAAGTGACCTCTTCACATTGTCTAAGAAAGCTAACTGTTGTTCTTTCCCAAAGATCCCATAGTCGATAGGTCTGCATATAGATGTTGCAGACTTGGGACCTGCTTTTGTCCTGCTGCGAAAAGTCCAATTTTCATTTCCATCACAGGAGGGGAGTTCAGAAAAAGATTTGAATCTTCGACTGTACCCATTGTTGACAGAGAATTCATTCCCAAGGGTCAGTCGACTCAGGGCATTGACAATAGAAGTGTTTTCAGAAAAATGGCGCTCCCTGACTTTTGGAGGATGACTTTTTCGTAGCAGATCACCATGCACATTAATACTTTTTAAACTCTTTGAACGATAGATGTATGGCTCAGGTTCCCACTCCAGAGATGAAGCACTCCTTTGTTGCTGCGGAAAACTGGCCAGTGGGATGCTTACTCCAGATTTCTGTGCAGGCTCCAGTGGAAAAGGAGGGCTCAGCCTCCTCTGATCGTCAGAGAATTCTGCTTCCCCGAGGCTGGTGAATGTGAGCAGGGATGGGGCTCCTGATTCTCTTTCTAAATTCTGAGCTACTGTGACATCTTTAGAATTCTCATGCTGTTGTGATTCTGGGACATTTTTTAACTCATTCGGATGTCGTTGTGAAATGCTGTTAGACTTCTGGTTGCTGACATGTGTAGAAGGTTCTCTGTTGGGTAGTAAAGTAGTGGGGAGAGGCTTCTCAGACTTCTTCATGTGCAATCCATCCTCACTCAACCTGCTTTCACCTCTGGATTCTGCAGACTTAGGAGTAGGCTCAGGGAAGAGTGGGTTGCACTCCACTGTGCCAACAGGTAAATGGTCAAAGCCAGACCTACTCCTACTTTTGGGGAAGATAGTAGCTACATGTCTTCTAGGGCTTACATCTTTAGCTGGGAATTTTCTGCTTGCTTTAGACATGGCTGCCAATCTGTGTTTACCTGAAGATCTATATTCCCCCTTTACTAGGTCTTCCAAGGTGGTTTTATTTTTATTGTTTCCTTCAGGAAGGGAAGGTTGATCCCATGCTAACTGCATTTCATCTTCAGCCTTCCTGCTCTCTGTCATATCTGCCTTCTGACTTCTTTGAGGTAATTCCCTAGGTCCAGACTGCAGATTCTCTAAGTCTGGTTCATCTGACTGAGTCTCCTCACCAAGCCGTAGTTTATGCAGTGCTGGAGTAAGAGCAAAGACTTGGCCGTCTGAGTGAGAAAGTGTTTCATTAGTCATTTTTTGGCAGTTGGTTTCAATGTCCCCTCTGCCTTCCTTAGGCTGTGAGCCATTGGAGCCATCACCTACAGCTGTGGATATGTGATCTTTCTGAGGACACTTCCCACTTCCAATAAATGGAATGGCTCTACCACTCCCTGTACACTCCCAAGAACTTCTTCTGGTTTGGGAATTTCCAATTTTATTTTCTGAAAGAGCTGGAAGACTAGAGGGACCACTGTCACTTGAATTAACGGATTGTTGGCAATTTTCGGATCTTTCTTCAGAAACATTTTTTCCCTGAAGCATCAATAAAGTATGCAGGGTTTCACTTTGCAATTTTTTGCCTCCTTCTTTCCTGTTTTCTGAATCCTCTAAAGGTGTTTTGGCTAAATTATCTGAAAAAATCTCTCGAACGTTAGATTCCTCTTTAGGAAGAGAAACAGCTGCCTCAGTAGAAGCCGTTTCCTGTAATGCAGGCTCTAGGAGCCCCCTTTTTGATAATTGGAAGGCAGTCGTATTTTCAGCGGTCAGACTCTGATCAGAGTTGACCGACATCTTTAGATCTTCACACGAAGGTGTTCCTGACTGCTCTCGTGTAGAATAATTCTGTGCATCTTTTTCTAAAGCATTAGGAAATGTTTCAGTCTCCACTTGAGGTGATTCTATTAGTGAATCAGTATTTTGTGTATACTGTTGAAGGAGGTTACAGAATGTTTTGCTGGGTTTCCTCGGTAGAGTGTAATATATTGAGACCACCTCCAGACATTTTACATTATCTTCATCACCAGAAACAGAAAACATACTAGTTGTCTTAACTTTATGTAAAGTTTTTTCCCGTTCTTTTCCTGACAAGTCTGAACAAAAAGGTAAAGGGTCTTCATTTGAAAGGGCAAATAGACTTCTCCTGGAGGCAGCCACTTTACCTTCCTTCTCAGTGCATTCTTGGAAGTTTTCCTTTTGGTGGTGTCTTTTGGTTAAAGAACAATCTCTAACAGATGAGCCACTTTCCACAGGGCAAATAATTCTCTCCCAAAGCCTTGATGTTTGCTCAGAAGCGTCCATGCCTGAGGCCAATGACTTCTTTCTTTCTTCTCTTCCAGTGGAGGCATGTGGCTCCCCTGAGGGACACGACGTAGCCCTCTTGGTGAGGAACGGAAGTGGTCCTTTTCTAAAAGAAGTGGATCCACCGCTTTTCACATTTGTCATTCTCTCTGTGGTTTCAGGTGCTCCCAGGGCTGAGTCTGAAATGACTTTGGAACATTCAGTCACTGACTCAGGAGAACTGGGACTAAATTTGTTTAATGTAGAGTTCCCCATTGTATCTTTCACATTATTTTTGATTTGGAAGGGAAGTGGCCCATTCCTCAATGAAGCAGGCATTATTTGACTTCCTGACTGTCTGCCATGTAGGAGAAAACTGCTTGATTTTCTTGGCAAGGTACAATAAATTGTGTCAAGCTCAGAAGCTTTGGAATTGCTTTGATTTGCTTCAATGAGGCTCCTGCGACCACTGGTGGGTACTTTTCTATTTTCTGTTTTGCTTAACTTTTCAATACAGGATATACGATGCCTTATTTTTCCTTTTCCCCTTCCGGTCCTAAAAGGAGAGTGTGAATGGCATTTGACAACATCAACCACTTCATCATGTGCGGGCACATGACTATCATTTCTCTCTTGGCTTTCTGAGTGACTTACAACAAACTGATTATTTTGGTCCTTCCCAGCATTGTCTTTTTCTTTTCTTTCTCCCAGTGATGAATCTTTGTCTGAAGGACTTCTCCTGGAGAACACTGTAGTAGATGGAACCACAGGAGCATCAATGGAAGCATTATTGGAGGGTGAGGAATCTGGTATTGCAGCTGATGACAGAGCTAAAGAATCACACGAGGTCTTGTGGCCGGCAGCCAACTTGCCACAGTTGGTACAATGAATTGCGGCACATTGTTCTCCCTCAGTATCTAAAATAACAGGCTTTTCTAGAGATTGTGCATTTTGAGTATCAGTCAGTGCGGAGCTCCAGTGGTTATTTGTAACAATGCTTGAAATATCTTCATTAGTTACAGTTAATTCCTGGTGACAACCTTGGTCTGGCCTGGGGAGAGATGGTGGTGTTCTGTGTTCCTGAATGAAAGAAAGGGAAGCTGTCGAGCCAAGTTTTCTGTTCCCAGTAAACCTCTTATCTTGTTTAGTGTCACTGGATTTATCTTTATACGGTATATACGTTTTGGAGGTATCTTTCCGGGAAGAGACTCTGGGTGACTTTTTTGAACTTATTGTGGTAGATGCATTAAAATCCAACCTGTTGCTCTTGGCTGAGTCCTGGGAGAAGGGATTTTGAAAATCAGGTAAAGGGTTTGAGATCCCTGTCTGTGAAACAGGTTGGGGTATTTCACTTGCCTTTTTTGTCTGGTCCATCATGCTTAGCTGTCTGTCTTCTTTTGAAATAAATTCATTTAAGTCTTTCTCACTATTTACTTCTGTGATATTGGGCTGGCTTTTGGCAAGAGGCAGAGAGTCAGTTGAACTGCTGTTGGTTATAGTGACTTCTGCATGGCTTCTCATTGGATGAGAGGCAGGCTTATTAAGAATAATTTTCGGCAAAGTGCCTGTGGGATTCTGCAAGTTGGAACTCTGAGAATTCCTTCTGTCATCAGAAATCTGGGAAAAGGAAGTTTTGAATGAGGGTACTGGAGTCTGAGCAATTCCAAACGAGGAAGCTTCTTTGTTTATATGTACGTCTACAGGAGAATTGTCCTCCTGTTGACTTACCAACTCACCAGATTTGATGTGACAGCTTGAACCAGTCATGGAGCAAACATTTGGCGTGCCAAAATGAGGAGTCAACTGGTTCTCATTACCATGTGATACCTCCATCCTCTCCAGTGTGGATGTCTGAAAATCAAACTGCCAGGGAGATGGCTCTTCTTGGCCTCTGGAAACATCTGTTCCATAACCAGAAGAAAATGATTCCCATTGTTCAGAAGAAACACTATGGCCATGAATAGCTGATGCACTATTTGCTTCCATGGAAATCATTTCAAATTCTCTGTCAGAAGAACTGAATGAATTCCTGCTTCGATGAAAGTCAGACCAGGAAGAATGTGCTATCTGCTGACCCCCAAAAGGACTTTGTCCAAATCTCCTCTGTTCTCTGCTTTGTCCAAAGGTATTGCTGAAGAAAGATCTGGCAAATGGGTTGCTTTGATGGTAGAATGGCATATTCTCTGAGTTCTCAAAAGTGTCAGGACTCATTGCATTCTCCATGGGGGCATTTAAACTAACATGGTGGTAAATATTCTCTGAATGGTATGATTCATAGCTCCTATTCTCCTGAAAGTACCTGGGATACGCATACTTGTCAGCAGGGTCAATTTCCATTGGTGATGGTGCCCTCAGGAACTCTGCCTGGTTCTGCCTATCTCTAGAGAAATCCGATCTGTTCCATATGATGGATGATAAAGGAGTTCTCTTTGGACTCTGCCGGTGCCTTAGTGGTACAAACACACTCTTGTTCTGAGTTGTGGCTGGAAAATGTAAGCTTCTTGCTGTGAAATGCCCTGTGGCTGGTAAGGCCGACCGTTGCCTACTGTCAAAACACAGCGAAGTACTTCCAAAAGTATTCTTTTGCACAGGATCTTCTGTAAAGGCTCTGGGCTCCCTTGTTCTATACATATCATAAATTGTCCTTGTCCTAGGAGAAAATGTTTTAAAACCTTCCCTAGGAGTTCCTGGTCTTAGGATGTCATAGATAGACATATTGGAAGTGTCATTATAGTGTTTTTTGTGCCTTTCTGAGATATTACCATGTCTGTTCCTGCTGGAATAAAAATGACTAAAATGTGTTCTTGATCCATAGTTGAGGGGCGTTCTGGTGTTCACCGAGCTTGCAGACTGTTCCTGAGCCAATTTGCTATCCAAGTCATCTAAAACTGAAAACAGAATGTGAATCAACTTTTTTATATATTTTTTAGAGTTTAGTTATGATTTGAATCATTGAAGCCTCCTTTTTAAGAAACATAATCATTTATAATATTTTTATCATATTATCATAAATGTAATTTTGATTATATTTTTAAGATAGACGGATTTTTACAAGATTATAGTGAAAATTTCTTTCCTACTTTTTCAAATCACATTTTTTCAAACTAAACCTTTCATAATTCCTTAAGACAATAGAACTATATTTTTCTAACAGTGAATTTTAATCACGGTTTCTTTTTTTTTTTTTTTTTGTGACGGAGTTTTGCTCTTGTTACCCAGGCTAGAGTGCAATGGTGCGATCTTGGCTCACTGCAACCTCCGCCTCCTGGGTTCAGGCAATTCTCCTGCCTCAGCCTCCTGAGTAGCTGGGATTACAGGCACGCACCACCATGCCCAGCTAATTTTTTGTATTTTTAATAGAGACGGGGTTTCACTATGTTGACCAGGATGGTCTTGATCTCTTGACTTTGTGATCCACCCGCCTTGGCCTCCCAAAGTGCTGGGATTACAGGCGTGAGCCACTCTGCCCAGCCATGGTTTCTTTTAGTGCATCTAAAATGTACTGAGTTTTTCTAAGATATGGGCTAGTAATAAAAAAGAATTAATAATGCATTGAATAATTAGATAACTGTTAGTATTATTAAGCCTTGTCTTTCTGTTTCTTTCATGTCACTAGTTTGCTACAATATTTCCACCTCTGTATACCTCCTGGGATCATAATAGAAATGAACCTCTTACAGAGCATATGATTTCTGTGTTGTACTGTTAAGAAAACAGCATTTTTGGCCAGGCAACGCAACTCACGCCTGTAATTCCAGCACTTTGGGAGCTTGAGGTGGGCAGATCACCTGAGGTCAAGAGTTCGAGACCTCAGGTAAAACCCTGAGGGTTTTCAACATGGTGAAACCCCATCTCTACTATAAATACAAAAATTGGCCAGGCGTGGTGGTGCACACCTGTAATCCCCACTACTCAGGAGGTTGAGGCAGGAGAACTGCTTGAACCCGGGAGGCAGAGGTTGTAGTGAGCTGAGATCGTGCCACTGCACTCCAGCCTGAATGACAGAGTAAGACTCTGTATCAAAAAAAAAAAAAAAAAAAAGGAAACAGTATTTCCACGAAAAGTTTACAGCTAATTTATGAACATACTTAGTTGGATGGATTTGAGCAATATATATAATTAAAAGTGCTATATAATGTTATTAAATAATATGCCAATGTTAGATTTTTTTTTCTGGAAAAATTAATATCCATTAATATTCCTATAAGACAGCACTTTCTGTGTGTCAGGGAGAATCCTAAACACTTAATATATTAATTCATTAAATCCTCACACAACCTTAGAAGGTTGGTCCTATTACTCTTCTTATTCTATAATGAAGAAACTGAAGCAAGAAGAAATTAAGTAAATTGCTAAGATTGCACAGCACTGGGATTGGAACCCAGACAGTCTGTTTCCTGAGTCCATGCATGCAACCACTGTGCAATGCAACCTCTGTGTCATAAGAGCTCACTTTTTATTTTCTCCTCTTTATGGACTATGCAGATGATTTTACTATGAGATGAGCTCATAGTTTTACAAAGACATGAAGTTGCTATTGTCAAATAATTATTACTTTTCTCTCAGTAGCGAAATCAGGGGGTGGGGCCAAAGTCAGTGTCCAGGGACCAATTTATGACAACTGAAGACCTAGACCAAGCCCAGACCCAGGGCTCATTCTCTCTAGGACCACAGCCTCTGTGATCTCAGACATAACACAACATCCTTTTGGGGACACAGTTGGTTTTTCTTTGAATTGTATTAATTTAATTGTATGTGACATTTTTTCCTCAGTAAAAACTCATTAGACTTTGAATAGAATCATAATCCTTTGAGGTTTGTAGACTCTTTAAGACCGACTCTATAGTAGTATAATTTACTATATTCATGTTCAATAAATATGAATAAATTACAAATTTGATTTTAACTGTATAATGCCAAGGAAAGTAAGTGTCTGACCATACATAGGTGAAATGTACATGCAACATGCCAATTATGTTAGGGCAGCTGCTAAAGGGATTTTAAAAAATCTGTTCTGGATTTTCCCTACCCTATTTTAACTGCAAGTTGGTGCTATTAAGTTTGTACAGCCAAAAGAAAAACTGTTCTTGAACATTAAGGATATGTAATTAAGGAATCCTTTAGGGAATAATCTGCCAATGTTTTCATGAAAATATTTATTTACCCCTCCTAGGGCCTGAAGTAATTTGTCCCCTATAGCCACAATAAAATAATTAAGCAATGCTGAAGTATAAGGTGGAGCAAAAACAAAACAAAACAAAACTGCATAATGAATAAAAATCTATCTTTAAAACAAATCATAACGAAAGTATCTTTGATATCCATTCTCCCTTTCAAGCTGTTTATGTTTTCCTTTCCCCTTAAAGCTTTGTCTGACCACAAGAGCAAAATGTAGTTAGAACAGAAAATACAGAAAGGTATAACCAAATAGGTAAATTCACCAGGAATTCTACCTAGAGGTAACCACTCTTAACGTCTCCATGACAGGATTTTAAATTAAAGCCACTTAGAATCCCAGATTAACAATGCTGTTTTACTCACCACTCCTGAGGTCAGAAAAATTCCTGTTCTGCTTCTCTACTTTATTTTCAGAAAGACCACATTATTATTATCATTTTCATTCCATAAACAGTAGCTCTCCTTTTCCAACAAAACCTTCATTTTGGATCAGAGATTTTCCTCCAGTCTCTGCCAGGAAGTGTCTTACCGAAGAAAGCCCCTAGGTTGACTGTCTGGCTGACTGTCTTTCCCTGACTGCTGTCCCACAGGATAAGGGCCAGAAGATGGTATTGCCTTTACAAACTAAACTTAGTTCCTCAAGGTGAAGCTGGTGATAACTCCAGAGTTAACTTTTCAAATGGCTGGGCTTATACAGAATAACCTTTGTAAAAGTGAACTATGATCATATAATGATAAGATACACATGCATTTGGAACGCCACTGCTTTTGCAACCTGTTTCAGTTTTTATCATTGTGCAAGGTTAATTGTTTAGTGACAATTAGATTTTGTCACAGTGCATTTGGGTCCTAATCTGGAACAATAAAAGTCTATTAAACAGCAAACTTTGTAGATGTGTTTCTTAAAGATGCATTTCCTTTTTACCTGAGGTTAAATATTTATTTATTTATTTTTCTGAGATGGAGTCTTGCTCTGTCACCCAGGCTGGAGTGCAGTGGTGTGATCTAGGCTCACTGCAACCTCTGCCTTCTGGGTTCAAGCAATTCTCTTGCCTCAGCCTCCCAAGTAGCTAGGATTACAGGCACACGCCACCACACCCAGCTAATTTTTATTTTTAGGTAGCAATGGGGGTTTCACCAAGTTGGCCAGGCTGGTCTCAAACTCTTGACCCCTGAGGTTAAACATTAAACATTATTACTATTCCATATATTTATCGGTCCTTGATTTGAGAATATTTGCTTAGATCATATTTAATCATAAGGTTCTTAATACTTGTATTAATAACATATCAGCATCCTCTTCAAATATGCTAAACAAAAGGACTTAAAAAATAAAGAACAGCATTTGATATGTTTTGAGTACTTTAATACAAACTAGTTATTGTTTACTTCCTTTAGTACCAGTTGTTGCAAAGGCAATTTAATGGACGAACTTACCTTGGAAAAACTCATTCTCCAGCAGTGAAGTGTCCCACGGCGGAGGCATGCCACTCTCCTCCCTCATGACTGCTGGCTTGGGGACAAATGCACTCTTGACTAGTTGATTTTCCAGGGGTGAATTGTATATTTTTGCCTGCTAATTTTAAAGTAGAGAACAATATTATTTCTGAGTCTTCACCAGTCAAAATACTCACACACTCCCACAAAACTGTCCCAAGCTTAAAAGTTTTAGTCTAAGCACTACAAACCATTTTTCTAATATTTATTTCTCAATTTGTAATGTGTTGTTTTTGCCATTTGCACTTCTCTATTCCCACTTTAATTCTTTCAGTTATGAGTCTTTCAGGAAAGGTACTGAGCCTCTCTCTGCCAAAGTTTCCTACAAACTTACATAGCACTGTCACAGGCGTTTGAATCAGAGCAACTGCAACTCGAATAGGGGCTGGGTAAGATAAGGCTGAGACTTACTGGGCTGCATTCCCAGCTGGTTAAGGCATTCTAAGTCACAGGATGAGATAGAAGGTCAGCCCAAGGTACAGGTCACAAAGACCTTGCTGATAAAAACAGGCTGCAATAAAGAAGTTGGCTAAAACCTACCAATACCAAGATGGCAGCAAGAACGCCCTCACTGTTACACTCCCCCCAGCACCATGACAGTTTACAAGTGCCATGGTCAGGAAATTATCCTATATAGTCTAAAAAGGGGAGGCATGAATAATCCACCCCTTGTTTAGCATATCATCACGAAATAACCGTAACAACGGGAAACCAGCAGCCCTTGGAGGCTGCTCTGTCTATGAAGTGGCCATTCTTTTATTCCTTTACTTTCTTAATAAACTTGCTTTACTTCTCTGACTCGCCATGAATTCTTTCTCGTGAGAGATCCAAGAACCCTCTCTTGGGGTCTGGATCTGAACCTTTGTCGGGTAACATCTTCTTGGCAACCACTGAAGGGACAATACTAAGGAAACTCCCGAACCAAAGACTAACTTTGGATAAGTGGTGGGGTGTGGTAACAGCACTACACAGATCTTGGTGGAGCATTCCTGGAAGAGAGGAAAGAAATGGACCTCTCTTAAATTTGGAGTGCTGTCTCCATGGCTCCAATGGCTTCGATTTTAGATTTCCTAGCATTGTACCCAGTTATCAAGCGCCTGTTAGCTAGAACTCATAGTGGACCTTCAGATTTGTGAACTTGACCGCGTGCGGTGGCTCAGACCTGTAATCCCAACATTTTGGGAGGCAGAGGCGGGCAGATCACTTGAGGTCCAGAGTTCCAGACCAGCCTGGCGAACAAGATGAAATCCTGTGTCTACTAAAAATACAAAAATTAGCTAGGCATGGTGGCCGGTGCCTGTAATCCCAGCTACTCTGGAGGCTGAGGCAGGAGAACTGCTTAAACCCAGGAGATGCAGGTTGCAGTGAGGCACTGCACTCCAGCCTAGGTGACAGAGCTAGATTTTGTCTTGGGAAAAAGAAATATATATATATATATATATATATATATATATATATATATATATATATGAATTAGCCAGACATGGTGGCAGATGCCTGTAATCTCAGCTACTTAGGAAGCTGAGGCAGGAGAATCGCTTGAACCCAGGGAGGTAGAGGTTGTTGTGAGCTAAGATCGCGCCTCTGCACTCCAGGCTGGGTGACAGAGCGAGACTCTGTCTCAAAAAAAAAATTGTGAACCTGACGGATTTGGGGAGAAAAATGTGTTTCTATCAGAGGTCATCTAGAATAGGGGTCCCTGACCCCTGGGCCACGGACTGGTACTGATCTTTGGCCTGTTAGGAATCAGGCTGCACAGTGTGGGGTGAGGGGTGAACATTACCACCTAAGTTCCACCTCCGGTCAGATCAGCCCAGGGATTAGATTCTCAAAGAAGCACGAACCAATGAGTTCTATATTTCTCTTTAAAGGATCAGTACGTCAGTATGTTCGGTTCTCTGTACTCCATTTTAAAGTTTAAACTCCTTCTGGTTTCAGTAAACAACCTTTTCTGCCAGTTCTAATCAGTAGTTCACATCTCTTCCCTGGGTCCCCTGCTCCATCCTGACTCATCCCAGTCACCTGCTCCAGTCACCTGCTTTGACCTGAGTCACCCCTGGTTACCTGCCCCTAACCATCCTTCCTGACAAACTACCTACCCTGCCACTCCAGCTGCTACCCCTGCTCTCTTTAAAATGGCCAATCGGAATTAGCCTAGACTGTGCAGTCTAACCCTAGCCAATAGGGGGATAACACAGCAGTAGGGGCTACCTCTGTCAGGAATAAGTCCCCCTTCCCCTCCTAGTCCAGGTGTACACTCGCCATTGTTCCATTTGTGAGCTGCACCCTTCTACAGAAGTAAATTGCCTTGCTGAGGAAATTTATATTCGAGTGCTACTTCTTTTGCGGCATTGAAAGTTTACATACTAAGACTATTGTGAACTGTGCATGCGAGGGATCTAGGTTGTGTTCTTCTTATGAGAATCCAACCAATGCCTGATGATCAGAGGTGGAACAGTTTCATTCCCAAACCACCCCCTTCAGTGAAGAAGTTTCCACAAAGTAGGTCCCTGGTGCCAAAAAGGCTGGGGACTGCTGGTCTAGAATGGTAGAATCCCTCAGACGGTCGTTAAGGAGCGGATTTGGTAGTTCTGAAACAAAGGCATTCAAAAATATGACTGTAAAAATAATAAATGATGTAAAAAAATCTATTGCTAATTTTTCAATGAAAGGATTTAAGAGAATGACATAAAACTAAATTTGTTTGCCTTTATTATTTATTTTATTTTATTTTACTTTTTTAAGGCAGTCTCCTTCTGTTGCCCAAGCCAGAGTGTGGTGGTGTGATCTCAGCTCACTGCAACCTCCACCTCCCTGGTTCGAGAATCCCCCTGCCTCAGCCTCCTGAGTAGCTGGGATTACAGGCACATGCAACCAAATCCAGATACTTCTTTTGTATTTTTAGTAGAGACAGGGTTTCACCATGTTGACTAGACTGGTCTTGAACTCCCAATCTCAGGCAATACACCTGGTTAGGCTTTCCAAAGTACTGGGATTACAGGCATGAGCCACTGAGCCTGGCTATTATTATTACTATATTTTACTAGCAAGTGTTTATCTTGATTTCATAAAATCCAATCACTGCTCTACTTTCAAGCTTTTATTTGTCTTCATAACCTTGTGGACATAATCCACTCCCATGCCTTCACTTTCTTGTGCCAAAACCCCATTTGCATTTCCTCTGTCAAACTGGCTCTGTCACTCATGACTCCACTTTAACTCATTCTGCACTCACCCACTTCCCGTTCCAGTCTTGATCTTCAGCGCACTTTGCTACCCAGTCCTTGTCTCCTGAATCCCTCTTCCCCACCTCAAGATTTCCCTTTCCATTTGACCTTCAACACTACATTTTTATCTCGTCTTTCATATCTAAGATCACGTCGACCTTTCCAAAGCTCCAACTTCTTAAGTTCTCCATCACAGGTCTGTCTAACTCCACAGTGCAGGTTCTCTTACCCACTACATTCCTCATGACCTTGTATTTTCACTCCTGCTTGTTTTCTTTCTCAAGGTCTAGGTCACTTATTTCCTACAGAAACCTGCCCAAATTTCATTGACCTATAGTTGTCATTGTATGAGTAAGCCACACCTGACTACTCACAGAGGAGATTTATTAATAAGGAAAGAGTGCTCCCATGATAACTTATTGGTCATCGAATATAATTTAGCATACTAATATAAAATTCAGAAGTAAACAAACATTAAAAGCAAAACACAACTCTAGTGGGATACTGATTGGAGGTAATAAAACCTAAATTTAGCCATTTGAGAAATCAGATCAGTTAAAGTTAATTCTTCTTACCCTACATCAAAGTGTTCCCTCTTGTCTGTCCAATTTGGAGGTTACATCAGTAATTGTTATTATTAGTGATAACAATTAGTCACAGATCTTATAAATCCATTCTTCTCAAATCTGCAATTTTGATAGTTGGTGCAAAGTAGATAGATCTGATTAAGAGAACATCAGGCATAATTCTCTCTTAATCAATCTTTTCTCTATGTATGTAGACCAGTACATTCCTTGTGGCCCCCAGGATCACATTCCTTTGTAATAATTCACAATGAAATGAAAAGTACATGAACAGAAGGGTCATGTGAAGAGATGACCCTCTCCAGGCTGGGAAGAATCACTATCCTCTAGAGACCCTGAGTATAATTTCCTTTGGTTTTATTTCTGCCCAGATCCTCTACTTCAAGACCCACCCTACTCAAACAGCATGGACAGGATGCTTTTAACACACAGAGATGTAAACTATATAGCTAACAAGAGAAAATACCGAGGTTTCATTTACACTCATCTGTAATTCTGCAAGGGTGACGTTAGTGATTAAAAAAAAAAAAAAGAAGCAGCAGCTGTGAGTCACTAGTAGGTATCAGACATCAAATACTGAAAACTATCACTCTCTATAGACTCCTAACTTTTATTTAAGCTATGTGTAAGATATTATTATTGTTGTTAGCAGCAGCAGCAACTAAACATTGATTATCCTAGATGAGAAAACTGAGGATTCAGGAGGTCAGGTCATTAGTCTCTGGTCACATTGATGGAGGGAGGGGATTCATTTCCAGTCTGTCAGATTCCAGAGCCACTGCTAAAATACTTCATTCTACTCACGATCAGGTTTTGCAGCTCTTGGCCTATTAGTGCATTACATCCTTGTGGTAGGCATTCTCTGAAGCCAAATACCAGTCATAGAGCTGCTGGGAGGCACCTGAAGTTTCTTGTGACCTAGAAGAGAAGTAAAACCCTCCAGGGCTCAGAGCAGACACTGACTGATTCTTATCAGGGCTCAGTTTTTGACTCAGAAGCCCCCTCTAAATAATGCTCCATGCTGTGGAGTTGCCATAAAAGGTGAAGCCTATTTCCCATTTTTGGCCTAGAGGATGAGGTTCAAACACCTCTTTGCAGTACAATTGTGCCAAAATCCTTTCCATTTTTGTTGTTGTTGTTGTTGTTTTAAGAGAGAGAGACTTGCTCCATCACCCAGGCTGGAGTGCAGCTGTGCAATCACAGCTCACTGTAACCTTGAACTCCTGGTTTAAGCAGTCCTCCCACCTCAGCCTCCTGAGTAACTGGGACTACAGATGTGTGCCACCATGCCTGGCTAATTTTTAAATTTTTTTGGTAGAAATGGATTGCTATGTTGTCCAGGCTGGTCTTAAACTCCTGGGCTCAAATAGTCCTTTCACCTTGGCATCCTAAAGTGCTGGGATTATAGGCATGAGCTACCATGCCCAGCCTCCAACTTCCTTATATTTGAACAAAATTACTCATTTGTTTTTAATATACTTAAAAATATCCTCTCTGACTGAATCTTATAACAAATATGTAAATTAAGTAGGAATTATCATTCCTGTTTTTCAGGTGAGGAAACTAAGTAAACGCCTTACTGTAAATCACATGAATACTATATATGGTGGCACTGGCTACTCATACTCATATGATCAGATCCCAAACCCTCTTATTTCTGTTATTTATTTTTTTTTTTACTGTTATTTCACTAATGTACATGTCTTCAGTTAGAGGGCAAACTCTCCGAAGAGAGGCACCTTGTCTTAGACAGTCCATGCCTTTCATTGCATATGGTGTGATACTTTGCACATAGTTATGAATTGATTTATGATATGCCAAGGTAAAAAAGTACCTATATAAGGCTGGGTACGGTGATTCACACCTGTAATCTCAGCATTTTGGGAGGCCAAGGCAGGCAGATGACTTGAGCTGAGGAAGTCAAGACCAGCCTGGGAAACATGGTGAAACCCTGTCTCTACCAAAAATATAAAAACTTAGCAAGCATGATGGCACATGTCTGTGGTCTCAGCTACTTGGGAGGCTGAGGTGAGAGGATCGTTTAAGCCTGGGGCAGGGGCAGAGGTTGCAGCAAGCCAAGATCATGCCACTGCACTCCAGCCTGGGTGACAGAGACTCCATCTCAAAAAAAAAAAAAAAAAACGAAACTAATTATATAAGATTATTAGTATATATTATTACAGAAATCAAGACACTGGAGATTTGTAACATTAGGATTCAGAAAAGCACGTGGGAGGCAGGACAGCATTGTGCTTAAGCACACGAACTCTACATAGGTTCCAATCCTGGCTCTGCCCATTCATATTTACACGACTTTGGGCAAGTTACTTAATCTCTCTAGATCTTAGTTTCTTTCTTGGTAAAAGGAAAATAACAGCAACAGTAACAATACCCATTGCATAGGGTTGCTGTAAGAATTAGGTGAATTAATATTAATAGTTGTGATGCATTTAGAATGATGTCAGCACTTAGTAATCCTTACTGTTGCTACTATTCTTTTGTGGTTATGGGGAACTCCCTGGAGGACTCCGGTTGATGCTGGTAGCCAAATGAGGTAGAAAAGTATCCCACAGGAAAAGGGGCCAGTTGCAAAACGCTGGCTTTCAGGATCTCAGTTACATGGTACATAAAATAGACTGAGCAAAATGAGGCCTTTTACACAACTCTAATTCACTTTGCTGATATTGTCTGTGATTCTGACCTGACCAGACAAACAAACCTCTGTCATAGCATAGCCTCAGAGTACTTGAGAACTTCCTAGGGCAGCCAAACCTGTAGAACAGCTGTCAGAGCTGAAGCCTAAACTCACTGATGTTATCAAAAGCCTTGGTAAAGTCAACAAAGTAATTTTTCAAGGTGTTCCTGAATTAGTTCTGTGTCTGTTACCCTGCACAGGTCATATCCACAAATGTACCTGCGGCTTAAAACCACTCATTCATTTCTTCCTTCAATTACTGAATGCTCAGTTTGTGCCAGGCAGTGGGGATACACAGGCTGTTATGGTTTGGCTGTGTCCCCACCCAAATCTCATTTTGAATTGTAGCTCTTACAAACCCAGTGGGAAGTTATTGAATCATAGGGGTGGTTTCCCCTATACTGTTCTTATGGTCATGAATAAGTCTCACAAGATCTAATGGTTTTATAAGGGGTTTCCCCTTTATCTTGGCTCTCATTCTGTCTTGCCTGCCACCATGTAAGATGTGCCTTTCACCTTCCATCATGATTGTGAGGCCTCCCCAGCTACATGGAACTGTGAATCCATTAAGCCTCTTTTTCTTTAAATTACCCAGTCTTGGGTATCTCTTTATCAGCAGCATGAAAATGAACTAATACACACACCCTGTCTGGGGAGCTCACACCAACCTGGATAAAGAGCCCAGGGTAAGAAATACCATATTGGAAGTATCAGCCAGAGTTTTCCAGAGATAAGGAATAGTCAAGTAGCCTAGGCATGCTCCTAAACTCCCTGCAATACACAGGAGTCCAAAATGTTAATGGTGCTGAGGTTGAGAGAAACCCTGGGCTAGAAGATCTCTAAGTGTTTCTCTAGCTCTAAAATTTCTATGTTTCTTTTGCTTCCTTTAAGCTTATGCATATGTTTAATTAGCAGCTTCCTTCTTTTCTAAGTGGAAGATCATCTAATAATAAGGTATAACTTCCCATAAAATGGTGGAATCTGCTTGTACCATTCCTACCAGGCTGCCAACCAAGTGATGAGAAGTTCATCACCTCAAATCTTGGGGAGAATCCCTATGGCATCAATGGTCAACTTCCAGCTCCGTGGGATTAAGGGGATAGAACTTCCTCAAATAAGTAAGGGGAATCTACATGTCATGCAGAAGTCTTATTTCAGACAGCACTTAAAAAATTTAAAGACAGTATTTTCATTATTTTTCTCTCTCTTTTTACAATCAATCCTTCCTTCCTTCCTTCTCTCTTTCTTTCTTCTTTCGTTTCTTCCTTTCCTTTTTCTGTTGCCCAGGTTGGACTACAGTGATGCAATTATAGCTCACTGCATCCTCCAACTCCTGGGTTCAAGTGATCCTTCCACCTCAGCTTCCTCATTAGCTGGTACTACAAGCATGTACCACCACAACTGGCTAATTAAAAAAATTTTTTTTTCATAGACACAGGATCTCACTATGTTGTCCAAACTGATCTCAAATTCCTGGCCTCCAGCAATCCTCCCACTTTGTCCTCCCTAAGTGTTGGGATTATAGGGCTGAGCCACTCTGCCCAGCCTCTCTCTTACTTTTCATAATAGCTATTTGTGGGGAGCAATGATCACTGGCTTCCATTTCACTTATCTGCCCAGCTCTTGCCTTTTAGATTGACATGCTCTTAACAATGAAATGGTTAGATGCAAGTGACAACCAGGACTGTCAAAGTGTGACATCTATTTATCCCTAGACTGGATTTTCAAATCCCCAAATTTGGGGATTTTCAAATCTCCAAATTAGCTCCACTTGTTCCAGGCATTTGCCTTTCTTTTTACATCTGTTTTCTGCTTCAGACCCCATGGCTCTCAAAAGGCAGAGGATGGTCAGCCTGAATACTTTAGGAAAACAAAGAGCACAGAAGCATCCTGGAGCAGGGCTCTGTCCTCTCAGAGAGCAAAGCTGGATTGGGAGGTTGTGCCACTTCAGTCCACTGCTCAGTTAAAGCAGAGTCTCTGCAGTGCAGGTGTAATCAGGGCATCAGAACTGAGGAGCTGCAGGCATGACCAACTGCCCGCTGTGGAGTTCCAGAAAGCCAGGCTTTCTAATCCTGAGTCTGTCATTTACCAGGGTGACCTTGAGCATGATCTTTAACTCTTTAAACCTCAATTTCTTTGTCCTTAAAATGGGGAGAATAAGCGTATCAATTTTACAGATTTTTTTTTTTCCTGGGGATTAAATGAAATGATCTATGTCAAGTGCCTGGAGGACAGTAAGTTCTCCACTAGAGTGTGGCAGTTGTTAGTGCTGGTGTCATGGTTGGGCCTGAGACATATACAGGAGAAAAATAGGGCTCAGGGTTATCGTCCAGAAAGAAGTAGTGCAAAGAACGCCTGTTTCTGGCTGGGCACGGTGACTTATGCCTGTAATCCCAGCACTTTTGGAGGCTGAGGCTCACTTGTGGCCAGGAGTTCAAGGCCAGCTTGGCCAACATAGTGAAACCCTGTCTTTACTAAAAATATAAAAATTAGCTGGGTGTGGTGGTGTGGGCCTGTAATCCCAGCTACTTGGGAGGCTGAGGCAGGAGAATCACTTGAACTTGGGAGTCAGAGGCTGCAGTGAGCCAAGATCACACCACTGCACTCCAGCCTGGGTGATAGAGAGAGACTCTGTCTCAAAAAAAAAAAAAAAAAAAAAAGGGAAAAAGAACCTCTCTTGATATGCACGCCTCACCAAAATTTTATCCCATGCTTTTTGCAAAGAGGGAGAGAGAGAGAAAGAGAGAGACAGAGACAGAGAGAAAGAAAAATGGAGGTCCCCAGTACTAAGGCTATGATCCACTGATAAGTATACTTGCTCTCCTCCTGCATGCTTCCAAAAGCTCCCTTAAGATCCCTTCCGAAACTCTCCCTTTCTTTTACTTCCAAACCACATGAGTTACACAGGAAGACACAGACAGCTGTAGATCAAAAGTTTTGACATGAAAAACTGGAAACAGAAAGCTTAAGCTTCTTTATCTTGTCAGCATCTGAATATGGTGACAAATTGAAATTTTAGTCTCTGAGGAAGTGTCTCACTGGGTCAACTCTCATACGAACTTGTTCCTGTATCTCACATATCATGGCTTCCTCTTTGAGGACCATCCCGGCTGGCAAATGTGGCTGTGGCTGCCTCTGGCAACTTCCTCTGACCAACCTCTCAGGGCTATATGAGAGCGACAAGTGGTAAAATATCAGAGATGCCACTGATGGTGTGTCTAGAAACGTGATGGCCTCACTCCTTCCTGGTAGAGAATTCCAGTACCAGAGTCATCTGGAAGCCAAATATAATTGGAAAGCTTTGAACTCTTGAGGAGAAATCCAAGCTTCTAAAATAAATTTAAAACTGAGCCGAGGGGAATCCTACTTAAATAGGTAGCCACCCTGGGATTACATAAATTCTGATTTCTTAGCGTAACCTGTAGTTATCCGGTTACTTACCACAGCAGCTCCCCTCACAGGCACCGGAGGTCCTGCGTGGCCGTCGCATCTGTGGAAATAATTTGAAATGATTTCTTTGAAGAAGAGCCTAACTTTTACTGGGAGGAAAAGTCAATAGCACATTTGCCATTAGCTTTTGATATCCTGAGACGATCTAGTTCGAATTCTCTGCAGAAAGATGTTTCTTGGTTAGTGTATTATTGAAAAAAAATTAGAAACCATTTCCTATGATTGCTTAGCATCAATGGCTTACATCTTTGTCGCTCAGGTAGCCAAGAAAAAATTACATATCAGTGGACCTGTATTCGAGCACAACATAAAACATAAAATATAACAGCTATGTTATGTTTGTTGCACTGTTTATTATGCGTTAGGCCCAATCTTGGTGTGTGTTAATTTATTTAGACAGCTCATTCTCCTGAGATGGACATTATGGCTACTCCCATTTTACAGATGAGAAGATGGAGGTACAGAGAAGTCAGAATTAACTGCCCAAGGTACACAGTTATTGGCTAAGCTAAAAGCTGGGCAAAGGCTGTCTGGATCCAGATCCCTCATTAACCAGTACAGCACGCTGACTCTTCTTCCTAATGGAAAACACATTTTCTGTTTCTGTGCATTTTTATTGTAAAGAGCAATTAAGTAACGACCAGAATTGGCAGTACATAAGATAATTTTAAAAAGAGAGAGAGAGTGAAAAAACCCACAACAACAACTACAATGAACATTGCTTTAGGATGTTGATTTCTATAAAGATGCCCGACTTACTAGGAAACAATTTTGGAAGTGAAAAAATATTCTTTTACTATTTGTGCTGCTTTCTCAAATTCAATGAGAAGCTGACCGATTTAAGACCTAGGCCCAGAATTGAGATAAATTTTAATCTTTTATTTATTTATTTATTTATTTGAGACAGGATTTCATTCTGACACCCAGGCTGGAGTGCAGTGGCACGATCTCAGTACACTGTGACATCAACCTCATGGGTTCAGGTGATCCTCCTACTTCCGCCTCCCAAAGTTCTGGGATTACAGGCACAAGCCACCACACCTGGCATAATCTTTTAAATAAATCAAAAATCTTATGCCAAGTGGTTCTCTGTCTGAATTCAAAATTTAACAGACTGTCCGGGTGTGGTGGCTCATGCCTGTAATCCCAGCACTTTGGGAGGCCGAGGTAGGTGCATCATTTGAGGCCAGGAGTTCGAGACCAGCCTGACCAACATGGTGAAACCCTATCTATACTAAAAATACAAAATTAGCAGGTGCCTGTAATCCCAGCTACTCAGGAGGCTGAGGCATGGGAATTGCTTGAACCCAGGAGGTGGAGGTTGCAGTGAGCTGAGATCGCACCACTGCACTTTAGCCTGGGCGAAAAGAGCAAAACTCAGTCTCAAAAAAGAAAAAATAAAAAGGAAAGATGTAATAGACCATAGTAACTGAGCGCTCTGTAGGAAATCAGGCCCTTTCCTCCGCTGAGAGAACAGTAGTGTGGATCAAGAGTTAAAGAAACTGGGACTCTAAGTCAATTAAAAGTTGCAAGGCAAAGGTGTCCATTCAGACTTCTAGCTGCTTTGTGGCTCATAAAAGTTGAACATAAAACCTGGGAGACCAAATAATTTTATATCCTTAAGATATCCACATGTATTTTACAGTTTAGCTCAGATTTTAACAGAAATTGAAATGAAAAGTAGGGATTTTTCCATGTAACTCTGAAATACTGGATCTACTAATAATATCTAGGCATTAAATACGGACTTTATTTTTATTCTTCCTTTCCATCCACATTTATTGAGCCTGTTTTCTTCCTACGCTCTACATACTATGTTGAGCTCTTTGGAGGAAACAAATATGACTCAGATAGGGACCCTGTTCTCTGAGAGCTTTTAGGAAACAGCAGGTACATAAAGAGCCAAAACCTAAGTCAAGACTTGATAAGGATGATAAAGAGGTACAAGTAAAATGCATGGGAAATGCAGACGGGCCAGCAAGCCCTTCCTGGGATAAACAGGGAAGGCAACAGCATGGCAGTGGAAGTGGTACACGAGGCTAAAGAATAGCCTGAGCAAAAGCTTGGAGATGGGGGCACTGCAAGGGAGGTCGGGGACCGGCAAGTAATCCAGTATGCCTGGAGCCAGGGCTACATGCCAGACTGTGAAGGTTCTTTCCAGAATTCTCCTGGGCTACATCCCTCATAGTGCATCCCCTCAGCCCAACACTTGCCAGCTCACCAGGCCCTGCTTCTGATTTGGAGCAGGTTTCTGAGAATGGCAGGTGAGTGGGAGATGCAGCTAAAGGCCCAGGGGCTGCCTGGAGCACAGCTGGGATGCCACCGCCAAGTGTGAAGGCAGGCAGCGAGTGCACGGCTGCATGCGTGCCTAAGGGGGCCACGGCCGTGTGTGCTCCTGCGGACTTGGGTAGAAGAGCATAGGACTCAGCAGTTTTGAGAACCTGGAGTCTCTGCACCCACTCCCAGGCCTTCCCACAAGTTAATTTATGTTTCTGATGTGACAAGTTTCCACTTGGAGAGTGAAGAAAAGCAACAGTGGTATCATGAAAATTGTACTGGTAAAAGCCCCATGAAAATTATAGTTGGTCCTTTTAAGGGATGCTAAGACACCTCATCTTCTGCATTTACCCACAAGTCCTATTGATGCTGTATCTGAGAGATTTCATATATATCCCCACTTCTCCATCTCCAGTCATTCTTCCTGATACTCAACTTCTACAATTTCTTTTCTGGACTCCTCTCCATCCTTCACACCACCAATAGAAAGATCTCACCTAAAACCCTTACAATAAGGTACTATCCAAAATCCTAACGTGAGGCCAGTTGCAGTGGCTTATGCCTGCAATCCCTAGTTAAGGTGGGCAGATCATTTGAGGTCCAGTGTTCAAGATCAGCCTGGCCAACATGGTGAAACTCTGTCTCCACTAAAAATACAAAAAAATTAAAAAAATTAAAAAAAAAATCAAAATCCTAACATGATATAAGGCTTTTCTTCAATCTGGCAAACTTCCCTGGATAATCCAGCACCCTTCAAGTCTCATCTGCCCACACTCTCCTCCTCCACAGGTACCTACACTCTAGACTTGTCAAATTAATTCCATCTCCATTAAATATTCTCTCATTTCCATACCTTTACAGATACCATTCAGAAATTCTCACTCAGTAGAGCAGGGTGGGGCTCAAGAATATTCTTTTCTAACCAGAACCCTGGGTGATTCCCCCCCAATTATTGGTGGGGCATACTTTACCCAATGAGGACATCCACACAGATGGCCATGGGCCAGTGAGATCATACTTGTCCAAAACGGACTCTGTGTCCTCCTTCCATCCCACTCCTTCCTATCCTCCCAATCAACAAATCCTGTTGATTCAAACTCAGAAATCCCTCTCAAACCCATCCACATCGCTACATCTCCCTGCCTTTACCCTAATTAAGACATTTATCATCGTTTGCCTTTTTTTGCTGTAATAGCCTCTTAACTGTCCTCTGTGTCCAGGTTTTTGTCCCAATCCAATCAATTCCCTAAACTTTCTTCAGAGTGATCAATATAAACCGAATCATGCCACTTCTCTGCAGATTTTCCTGCATCGTGGCCTCTGCCAACCTCTCTTGCCCCATCTCTTATCAGCCCTCACCTTGTGCTGGGTCATTGAGCCTCCATGACCTACATGAATTCCTGCCTCTCCACTCTCTGCACGTTGGTTTACTTCATTTCTTTTGCCTAGTGGAGCGTCTGGATTCCTAACTGCCTGACTTAGTCTTATTTGTCCTTCAAAAATTAGCTCTCCTCATCCAGGAAGGGATCTTGATCCTCCCGTCTGACTGAAGTGCTTTCTACATTCTTTCCTGGCAGCAACATCATGCATCACCACAACAGTCACCACCTTGTACTGTAATTGTCAGTGCACCTAGCTGTTACCTAGGCAGCTAGGCCACATGGTATCCCTGCGTGAATTCTAAAGGGCATCCCTTTCTCCAGACTGCTCCTTTCATTTGCTGGAAATTGCCTTAAGACATGTACAAATCCGTGATGGTCACGATGCAAGAGGTACATCCTAGTGTTCTGTGGTGTGCTGCTTGCCCGACCCCTGCAGCAATCTGGTGTTCCCTACTGGAATATAAAACCTGCTTTCATTTCACTATTTCATTTACAGTACTTAACATAGGGTCTGATACTAGAGTGGGACAGAAGCTTGTTAAATAAATGAAAGGGAAGCTATCTCCGGCTATTATCTCCCACACCAAAAATTCTGATAGCCCTTATCAGAGTGGGAGGAAGCTAAGCTGTAGCAGTTACCAAATTTGAATGAGCACCCAAATATTCTGGAGAATTAAAAATAAATAAGTAAAACTCCCCGTGCCTTACTTCAAAAGCACCAGGTTGGGACCTGATTACCTGTCTTCATTTAAAAATTGCTGATGATATTCTAATAATGATTAATTAGATCAGCTGGGAACTATTGGCCACCCAGGATACAGCTGAAAACCACTCCCCTTGTCTTATTTCTCCCTCTTGTCACCACAGTGCTGTCGTTTTTCTGTGGATGCCACACCTGGGATCACAGAAAGAGCATTTCCAAAGAAGGAGCTTGCTTTCTCTGACTTCTCCTGCATCTAGGTGTCTTAGATTCTTGTGTCTTCCAACTTAGACACAGGCACTCAACTAGCAATGAGCAAGCGTACACAGGAGGGCATTTGGAAGGAGGAGGGACAGCGGTGGAGAGAAGGCGGGTGATAGAGAGCGATCAAGAGACAGAGAGATCAGGAAAAAAAAATATGATCTGCCCTTTTAATTTTCCAAAATAGCATTTAATCTTTTAACTTATGTAACCTAGAGGTTGCAGCTGGACTGTCTGCGCTGTGTACGCCCTATGGGTGAGGCAAATTTGGACATGTCTGAGAGCATCTAGGTGGATCCACCAAAGCTCTTTGCACCTGAAGGGCAATGCACATTACCTTATTACCACTACAAAGTGGGGAGGGTATCACTGGAATAACTGGGGGTCTGAAAGGAACAACTATAGATTCTGCTTGGCAGCTGGGAAGACTGCATGCATAAGCTGATGACATACACCATTGGATACCTACTGACCCCGGTGGAAGGAATCTGTGAGATGACAAAGTTACTGAAATTCTGTGGTAGGGGCTGAGCACATGTCACATGCACTAGGTACCCCAGCACAAGACACGTGGAAACATTTCTTTACAATATGGAAAGATGTTGAGGGAAAGCTACTTGTATATATGTATACTTTTCTTGGATTTATTGGCTAAGAATACATACATTAAAACATGAATGGAAATTATTTTTCTTTTTTCTTGGGGTTGGGATAGAGTCAATCATTTACAAATAGGAATAAAATCATAATGGGATAATTTGGGAAGTATATATGTTTGAGAAGAGGAACAAGTTGTATTTGAGGCAGAAATGGTAAATCTTTTTGCTTTTTTTTTTTTTTCCTTCAAAAAAGCACTTCAGTCAGATGAGAGGATCAATTTTCACTCTGTCACCCAGGCTGGAGTGCAGTGGTGTGACATGACTCACTGCACCCTCCACCTCAAGTGGAGGGCTCAAGTGATCCTCCTACTTCACCCTCCCAAGTTGCTGGGACTACAGGCTTGTGCTACCATGCCTGGATAATTTATTTTTTGGTAGAGATGGGGATTTCACCATGTTGTTCAAGCTAGTCTAAAAACTCCTGAGCTCAAGTGATTCTCCCTTCTTAGCCTCCCAAAGTGCAGGGATTACAGGCATGAGTCCCATGACTGGCCTTTCTTTTTGCATTTTTACAAGTTCACAAAGTCACTGTGTTCCTATGGCTTTTTATCCCTGATAGTAGGACATCAGAGCTCGAAGATACCACATACTTTTATTGACTGGGCCTTAAAGGCAACGAGTGAATCTGGTGAAATGATGAAGTCCATGCTCTTCTGGGGAGGGACACCTATTATCAAGTGCATTTCTCAGTTAGAACCAAAGCTTAGAAGAGAGAAAAGGAAATCTCTGAGAAGCAAGTGTCTAAGTGCTGATCAGATTGCGTTGATTCTTTTTTTCTGATTTGCAAAAAGATCCTCTAAATTGCTTTACTAACTTGTTCTCCAGAGCACTGAGTGTGACAGTCAAGCCCCTGGTGGCTTTAGCAAGTAGAAACCTGACTGCTGCCTGCAGAGGATGACTGTGTGTCCCTGGGCCATTCGTCAGTCCCTCCCAGGGTGCTCACAGGTAAGGAGGAGCTCCTGAATCACAGTCCATTTTGTGGGTTGATTTTGTATTTCAGATCGATGCTGCCAAAGAAAGTTAGGTTTTACCTGAGATTATAGGGCCCTTCAGAATGTATGACTTGATATATCATAATACAATGCCCCCCTTAAGAAACACTTCTTCTCCCACATATAGGATTCATATCCAAATATTTAGGTCACATTCAAATTTAAAACTAAAAAAGACATGCTTTTGTATTTCATCTTCTGAAACCTCTTAGGAGCAAAAACCAGTGCATTTAATTATATTCTGCACCAGCGGAATTAACACATGCTTATCAATATCAATAATAATAAGATAAATGTTAAATGTTCTCATTTATGTTTTGAAAGTAAAATGTATTTGAAGATGACTAATTCTGAAAACTGCTAAACACACAAAAATATACTTAAATGACAAAATATGTTTTATTTCTGCATGTTGTATCTATGTTTCAATTCTTCTGGTTAAAAGAGAATTCCAAGTCATTCTGATATCTAAGAAGGACATTTGTTAAACAGAATTTTTCAAGAGTTTTAATTTTTTCCAGTTTGGTCTATAAGCAAAATACATGATACCCAGCATGAAGATTATAGATCTATATCTTCTTCCACCTTTGCAGTAATTTGCAATATGAGCTTGGAAATAACTTGCCCCTAGAATTAACAGGTTCCTCAACTTTTCTCAATTTACTAATATTAAGACGGTTCAGCTATACAACATTCTGCCTTAAAGAAAATCTAAAACCTAAGATACAAATGATATCACAAATCCTGGCTATACCACACAGTGGAAATATTTTTTCTCACTAAAAGAAATATTTGCTGTGCAGAAATACTTCTCAATTTTAAATTCTCCAAATGTGAGAATCACTAGTGTCTCAAAAATTTTTACAAAGAAAAACAACTCACCTATTTCCAGAGCATTTCCATGCTAGGGACTCTGGTAGCTACCGACATACAAAGCTACATTTTAGTCAGTTCTTTTTTCATCAGACAAAAACAGCCTCGGGTGAAAGCTGGGAGTGAAAAACTCTCCATTCACACAAGATGGGAGGACGGTGGTCTGCCGAGTCTAGCAGCCTCATCACACGCCCCACCAGCTGCTTGCTGCCTCTCGTTTCTCAGCGACAGTGACCTCCAACACCTTTTATTTAGTGCTGCAACACACCGTGTGGTTTGACGGCACAAGGAACGTATCACACGCCAAGCCAACACCTTAAGAGGGTGGGAAGCTTTGCAACCAGGAAGACGTGCCGAAAATATTTAGCAGTCAGCTCAATTGCGCTTAAGCATAGCCTTGCTTGTTTTTCACAAAGCAATCTAGCAACATAGTGAGTCAAGTGAACTGATTTGCACAGTCCTAAACTGGGAACCATCTGGAACTAAGTTTCCACTGCTCCAGAAGCTTCTCCTCTCTCACCTTATACATTCTGAGCAATCACATGGGAACAGCCCTCAACATTTCTAATAACACTAATTACATTTCCTCCCTCTGTTTTAGAATTCTATTTTTCTCTAGTCTCTTTGCTCATCTCACATTTGCTTTCATCTAGTCCTTATACTCCAACTCACTTATGACCAGGACACATACTCTGCAAAGAAAGAGTAGTTTTTATTTAAATATAATATTTAAATAAAAATAAAATATAATATGGCCATAAAATTTAAATAAAAATAAAATATAATATGGCCATAAAATTTAAATAAAAATAAAATATAATATGGCCATAAAATATAATATGGCCATAACATAGGCAAGATTCTTGGAGCAGTGAAAAAACTGGCAATCGCGATTTCCCAGTGTTTAATCCATCTCTACCAAATGCACCACCAATGCACTCTGCATTTCGTTAGAAGTTGGATTTCAGGTGAGCCAAGTCTCATGGTTTCCTAAGAACTTTGTGACTACGGAAGTTAAGTCCCTTTTCCTTTGTTATTAATACCATTGGAATTGAAATTCTAAGAACAAACATTAAACATTCTGAACACAAAGCAGGCTGCTGGCCTCTGATATCAGATAACAAATGGGCTGTAATATGACCTGAGTTTAACTCACCCTTTCTGTCCCAGTGATGGAAGCTTTGAAGTCTCCTTTCCAGATTTCCTGAACGAGAACAGGGAAGCAAATGACGATCTGAAGCTCATCCGGGAAGAAACAGATGTTGGTTTTTTTTGATTAGTTAAATTTTTGGATCTTGATGTAGGTAATTCTATTGGATCTAAAAAAAATTGTAAAATTTCTGTATCAGTTATTTCCAAGCAAATATACTTGAAAGAATGAAGCCTTTGCTCTCGTGTCACTTTCTCCCTCTATGCAGTCTGGAAACAGGGCAGGCATCCTCACGTGATGACCTCAGGGGATTAAGGGAGTCAGAGCAACCTCTCTCCTGCACCTCTGATGGTTCTGTGGCATAGAGAAAATCCATGTAGAGCACTTTGGGAGGCCGAGGTGGGTGGATCACCTGAGGTCAGGAGTTCAAGACCAACCTGGCCATCATGGTGAAACCCCATCTTAAAAAATAAAGTAAAATAAAATAAAATAAAAAAGAGAGCAAATCTATATAGTAGGGAATCTTTCAATGTGTACTGTGAATCAAAGTTCCAGACAGTATTCCTCCTCTTACCCAAGCTAGGAAGTCAGGGACCCCATTCAACTATCATGTTGCTTAACCATGCTGTCCTTCAGAAGTTTTTATTTCAATAACTTAAAACCATGGTGATACAGACATGCTGCATAGAAAGCAAAGGAAAAGGAAATTATGCCATTTAGATTGTTCTTTATTCCTTTCCAAAATCTATCTCTGTGGATATGTATTTGCTACATACATAGTTTATATCTATGTTTGCATGTAACATATACAGGGTGAACATCCTAAATCCAAAAAACTTGAAATCCAAAATTTCTCCAAAATCCAAAAAATTTTGAGCACTAACACGATGCTTAAAGAAAATGCGCATTGGGACTGGGTTCAGTGGTACACGTCTGTAAGCCCAGCACTTTGGGAGGCCAAGACAGGTAGATCACCTGAGGTCAGGAGTTGGAGACCAGTCTGGCCAACATGGAGAAACTTCGTCTCTACTAAAAATACAAAATTAGCCAGGCGTGGTGGCACATGCCTATAATCTCATCTACTCAGGAGGCTGAGGCAGGAGAATTGCTTGAACCCGGGAGGAAAAGGTTGTGGTGAGCCAAGATTGTGCCATTGCATTCCAGCCTGGGCAACAAGAGTGAGACTCCATCTCAAAAAAAAAAAAAAAAAAAAAAAAAAAAGGGCTCATTGGAGACTTTCAGATTTGGGATTTTGGGATTTGAGATGCTCAACTTTTCAGTTTATATAATGTAAATATTTCAAAATACAAAAAGATCTGAAATCAGTAATACTTCTGGTGCCAAACGTGTTGGATAATGGCTTTTCAAACTATGTATAATATATATGTATGGATAATATATAGGTATTAAAAATTCAAAGGCAACATCAATATATGCAAAATCCATAATATTGGCCAGGCACAGTGGCTAACGCCTGTAATCCCAGCACTTTGAGAGGCCGTGGCGGGTGGATCACCTGAGGTCAAGAGTTTGAGACCAGCCTGGCCAACATAGAGAAACCCCATCTCTACTAAAAATACAAAAAAGTTAGCTGGGCGTGGTGACGCACACCTGTAATCCCAGCTACTCAGGAAGCTAAGGTAAGAGAATCGCTTGAACCCAGGAGGTGGAGGTTGCTGTGAGCCGAGATCATGCCACTACACTCCACCCTGGGAGACAGAGGAATAAATTATTTATTTATTATGTCTAAATAAATAAATAATCCATAATATTATGATGATTTTGGACATGCTGAGTTTATAAATATTAGAGGAATTTAGGACAAGGGAAAAGTCACCAGGATATATATGGAGGTGATCTAAAACTCTGAGCTGTGAGTCTTTTTTTTTTTTTTTTTTTTTTTGAGATGGAGTTTCGCTCTTGTTACCCAGGCTGGAGTGCAATGGCGCATTCTCTGCTCACCGCAACCTCCGCCTCCTGGGTTCAAGCAATTTTCCTGTCTCAGCCTCCCAAGTAGCCGGGATTACAGGTATGTGCCACCATGCCCAGCTAATTTTTTGTTTTAGTAGAGACAGGGTTTCACCATGTTGACCAGGTCTCCATCTCTTGACCTCGTGATCCACTCGCCTCGGCCTCCCAAAGCACTGGGATTACAGGCGTGAGCCACCATGCCCGGCAAACTGTGTGTCTTTTTACATAGATTTGTTTATTATAAGAGTTGCAAGATATTATCAATATAGAAGTTTAGATGTATTTTTACATGTTTCCTGATGTTGCTAATGTTAGCAACATGCAAAAAACCAGTCTGTGTGACTGCATCAGCAAAAAGATACTTTATTTTAGTATTTTATAATTTCTAGTCACTTCATTTTTTCTCACAATAGTCCTATGAAAGCAAGTTTTAGAATCCTTTTAATCTGTTTTTACAGATATAAAAAGAATTGATTGGTGAAGTTACATACATGTTGGTAGTCACACAGAGAATCCACAGAAGGCATTTACTGGAACTCATTCATGGAGTTTACCAAAGCTCCAGAAGTGTGGCAGCTCCTGCACCACCTTCCCTCCCTTCTCCTCTGATTCTCCCTTCCTCCACTCCTCCCCTTTTTCTTCCTCCTCTTCATAGTCATCCCATTTATTTAAGTGCTTACCCTGTTCCAGCTTAATATTGTATTATTTATTTATTTATTGAGGTGGGGTCTCACTCTGTCACCCAGGCTGGAGTGCAGTGGCACGATCTCAGCTCACTGCAACCTCTGCCTCCTGGGCTCAACTGATCCTCCTGCCTCAGCCTCCAGAGTAGCTGGGGCTACAGGTGTGCACCAGCATGCCCAGCTAATTTTTGTATTTTTTTTTTGTAGTGATGAGGTTTTGCTATGTTGCCCAGGTTGGTCTCAAAGTCCTGAGCTCAAGCAATCTTCCTGCTTTAGCCTCCCAAAGTGCTGGGATTGCAGGTGTGAGCCACTGCCCCAGGCGTCCCCAGACTTTTTACACAGGGGGCCAGTTCACTGTCCCTCAGACTGTTGGAGGGCCACCATATACTGTGCTCCTCTCACTGACCACCAATGAAAGAGGTGCCCCTTCCTGAAGTGCAGCGGGGGACCGGATAAATGGCCTCAGGGGGCCTCATGCGGCCCGAGGGCCGTAGTTTGGGGACGCCTGCACTGCCCCCATGCAGCTTAATACATTGTACACATAATTTTACTTAATTCTTATAACCAGCCTATGAGGTAGGTATCAATGTATCCATTTAAAGATGAAGAAACATTATTCTCTGTTTGCAGAGAATAATGACTTGAACAGACTCACATGAACACAGACAGAGTGGAGATTTGAATACAGGCCTTTGTTGACACCTACCCACTATGCTATCTTGCCTGATTAAAAACAACAACAACAAAAAACCCAAGACATTATTACAGTAAACTTTTAGTTCACTTCTTTTTAATGTGTATTGTATTATAAACTTTTGTCGCTTATGACTTTAAAATGGTTCTAAACATGGATTAGTTATACTAGAGATCCACTGGGCCATTATCTGGAATACTATGCCACAGAAGGAAAAAAAGAAAAAAATTTTAAATCTAAAATCTTTTTCTTACCATTTTTTGCCATCTCCTTCCTTAGCCTGTATGTAAGTGGTTGTTTTAACATTTGGCTAACGTCTGTTTCATCGCAAAACTTTTTTCTTTGAATTTCTTCAAACCATTCACCAGTCACTCCCTGAAGCCATCTGATATCCCTCTTTGTCTTCTGAAGTTTGCTGAAATAAAATAAAAATATCAATGCAGTCTTTATTTTCTTAACATCAAGCTCATCCTTAAATCAATGTACTTTTTTTTTTTGAACTGGGGAAGTCTCACTCTGTCACCAGGTTGGAGTGCAGTGGCACAACCTCATCTCACTGCAACCTCCACCTCCTGGGCTCAAGCGATCCTCCCGCCTCAACCTCCCAAGTAACTGAGACCACAGACACATACTACCATGCCCAGCTAATTTTTTCTATTTTTAGTAGATATGGGGTTTCACCATGTTGCCCAGACTGGACTCGAACTCCCGAGCTCAAGCAATCTGCATGCCTCAGCCTCCCAAAGTGCTGGGATTACAGGAGTGAGCCATCTTGCCCAGCCTCAATGCACTCTTTAAATTCATTCACATCTAATGCAAATTCATGTGATGGGCTAAACTTTTCTTAATGGAGGAGCAGCATAATCTATAAATCTAGGAAAAAAATGGTCAGAATCAGAATTTCCCTTTCAGCACTGTATGTTTTTTAGGTGTTATTTGTTGTTGTTGTTGTTGTTGTTTTTCATATTCTTGTAAATATGATGGCAAACTAAAAGTTTTACCAGTGGTTAAAATAATCATCAAGCTGATGAGGACAACCTGGATTAAGCAATGTGCTAAAACCTGACCTAATAATGCAATTGAATAATAGATGTTCTAACAACATGCAGAAACTGGAATATTCTCGTTCTGATTACTCATTCATTTACTTGTTAATTCATTAAATGTTTATTGAGCAATGTTAATCAATTTAGTGTTCATGAGGCCCCAGGTAGGCCATGGATTCAACAGTCAATGTAACAAATAGGATACTTGCTTGTCAATCCAGTGGTCAAAGATAAAAGCTAATATGCAGAAAAAAATTATTGAATGTAATGGTCTTATTATTCTTCTTATTATTTGAGACAGAGTCTTGCTCTGTCACCCAGGCTGGAGTGCAGTGGCATGATCTTGGCTCACTGCAACCTCTGTCTCCTGGGTTCAAGCAATTCTCCCCCCTCAGTCTCCTGAGTAGCTGGGATTATAGGCGAAAGCCAGCACACCTGGCTAATTTCTTTATTTTTAGTTAGAGGTGGGGTTTTGCCATGGTGGTCAGGCTGGTCTTGAACTCCTGACCTCAAGTGATCCCCCTGCCTCTGCTTCCCAAAGTGCTGGCATGAGCCAGCATGCACCACCAAATGTAATGGTTTTAGATAATGGACTTCTTTACACACAAAAACACAAAAACCCATTAGTGAGCACAGGTCTAAGGCAACGGTAGTAAAGGATGAGGTAATTTGAGATGGACAGAAAAACCATGCAGTGTACAAATATGTCTGCTCCATAATTTCAGAACACATGGTCTGAAATCCCATTATGTTTTTTTTTTTTCTAGTTTTCTCCCCTTTCCTGCCCAGTTTTCTTTAAAATGAAAGTACCGCTTGAAGTTAATTAAGTCCCTGGTTATTGTGATTTATTAATACTTTTTTCAAAGTAGAGTAATTTGCTCTATTTAAGGAAGACCCTAGAACTGTTTGGAAATGAGAGGTGCTTAATCCAGAGTGAGATGTTCCTGGACAGGCAAAATGAGCAGAAAGGGGTGTTTGAAGAACATGATCACAATGTTTATAGAGTGGTTGCTTTTTTTTTTTTTTGAGACAGAGTTTTGCTCTTGTTGCCCAGCCTGGAGTGCAATGGCGCGATCGTGGCTCATTGCAACTTCCGCCTCCCGGGTTCAAGCAATTCTCTTGCCTCAGCCTCCCCAGTAGCTGGGATTGCAGACATGTGCCACCATGCCCAGCTAATTTTGTATTTTTAGTAGAGGGGGGTTTCTCCATGTTGGTCAGGCTGATCTCAGACTCCTGACTTCAGGTGATCCCCCTGTCTTGGCCTTCCAAAGTGCTGGGATTACAGGCATGAGCCACCGTGCCTGGCCAAAGTGGTTGCTTTTCCACAGCACTGATGGAAAAGTTAGGGATGTTGTTGGATTCCAGTCTTGGGAAATAAAGTATTCCACTTGGCTCAGCAGCTGTTATCCTTTATCCAGGATCTGCCATAAAGCACAAGTGTTAGGGTCTTTGTTTTGTTAAGGAGGTGATGAGCAAGATATCTGTAAAGTAGCAAATTTGGAGTTAAAAGGCAATGAACTGAGAGGGCTGCAACTCAGGCTCCTGCTTGAGGCTATGAAACTGCTCTTTTATAAAATATTCAGGAAAGAAGCCAGAGGTCACCCTGCCCAGACTTGCATTTTGCAAAGCATTAGACAGCAATCACCATGTTCAACTTACAGAATTTGCATCGGTGCCTCCTTTTCTGCCATTTCCCCCCTCTGATGCCTGGTACTCCTGTCTCTATTGATACTTCATTTACTAACAGCAGACTAAGCGACTGTAAGTATCTGCTTCTAACCAATAGTAGCTGCCTCTAACTTATGGACACCTCACTTACTAATGCCCCACATTTGTATACAACCTCTACTTCTTTGGAGCCCTCCTTAATTGTCAGTTCCCCAAAAGCCAGCAGCACCCTTCTCTATTTCTGAAAACATCAGTCTCATTTCAGAAGACAGTCAAGCTATTTGACTTAGAAAGATGCATATAAACAACATTTTTCCCCGAACAGGCTTGATGTAATATTGACTCTCTTTTTACAATTTTTATTTATTTATGCATTTATTTCTAGAGGCAACGACTCGCTCTGTTGCCCAGGCTGGAGTGCAGTGGTGCGAATATAGCTCAATGAAGCCTTGACCTCCTAGGCTCAAGTGATCCTCTGGCCTCAGCCTCTCGTAGCTGGGACCACTGTCCCTGACTAATTTTTGTAGAGACAGAATCTCATTCTGTTGCCCAGACTTGCCTTGAACTCCTGGCCTCAAGCAATCCTCCCGCTTCATCCTCTCAAAGTGTTAAGATTATAAGAGCCCCCATGCCGAGCCCAGAAATAATCAGTTTACTTAATCATACTTCAAGCTTTCCTTCCATGCTTATGTATGTATCCCCCACTGACTGCTTCTTTTCTGTGTTCTGACTAATGAAGCCAGAAGTATGTATTTCCCTGAAAGTACTCATACACTTTGAATTCCACTCCAGGAAATTTATCTTAAAGTAATAACCCCACCCCAAGAGCATTAATTTAACTGAGCATCATGTAGTTGCTGACAATAATTATGTGGGCAACATAGAATCCTGGGAAAATGCATATGACAAAAATGAATGAAAATACAACATTCATCTATGATTATAGCTATGTAGAATGATCCCCCTCTTGGGCACACCAAAAAAAAAAAAAAAAAAAGGGAAAACACCTGATGTTTTAGAGTAGAATAATCACAGGTATCATTTCTATTTTTAACTTACTTTTTTTTTTAGCTTTTTTATTATTCAATGTGTACAATATATGGAACTATTTCTTCTTTTTGTTTAATCGTGAATTTTTATTTGTGTTGTCACCTTTCCATTAAATTTTTTTGGAGATAGAAATCAGTAATATTGTCATAATCTGAACACAGTTAACAGTACTCTTTCAGGGTGATTTTTCTGCCACATTTCTCACACAACTGTGATGAAATATATCTAGGCTGGGCATGGTGGCTCACACCAATAATCCCAGCACTTTGGGAGGCTGAGGCAGGAGGTCTGCTTGAGTCCAGGAATTCGAGACCATCCTGAGAAACATGGTGAGACCCTGTCTCTACAAAAAACTTAAAAGTTAGCCAGCCATGGTGGCTTGAACCTGTGGTCCCAGCTACTTGGATGCTGAGGTATATATATATAATATTCAGTATATGTTTGTGGAAAGCCTCCTATGGTGCAAATGCTGGCATATAATGTTGAGCAAAGCAGATAGCGCTCCCACCCTAGAGAGATTACAGTCTATGGGAGAGACAGATATGAATCCAATAACAATAGTGACATCAGGTAACAAATAGTGGTAAATATGACTTATTCACTCAACACACATTTGAACCCCAGGCAAAGAGCAGTGAACAAGTCCCTGCGTTTATGGGATTTAAATTCCACTGGGATGGGAGTGTGTGTGTGGGAAACATTAAAAAAGTAAATAGGGTTGGGTGTGGTTGCTCTTGTCTGTAATTTCAATGCTTTGGGAGGTAAGATGGGAGGATCACTTGAGACCAGGAGTAAGAGACCACCCTGGCCAACATAGTGAAAACTCATTTCTACAAAAAATTTAAAATTGGCTAGCTTTAGTGGTGTGCTCCTGTAGTCCAGCTGTTTAGGAAGCTGAGGCAGGAGGATTCCTTGAGCTCAGGAGTTGGAGGCTGCAGTGATCTAGGATCACACCACTGGACCCGGCCTGGGCAACAGAGTGAGACCTTGTCTTAAAAAAAAACAGCAAATAGCTGCTAAGAGAGCATATAACAACCAGACCTGGGCTGAGGCTCCACCAGTGAAAGTTTCCCTGAGATGACGTAGGGCTGGAAGAATGAAGGATGAAGGATGAGGCCAAAGGGTCGTGGCAGAAGGGTCTGGGAGAGAGATTTCCAGACAGAGGGGTAACCTCCATAGAGCAACAAGTGCCCCAAGGAAGAAGCAAGGAACTGAAATAAGGTCTGTGTAGCTGGAGTGCAGAGATGGAGAGGAAGCCCAAGCCCAGCAGAAAGGGAGAGAGGCAGCTGTTGGATAACATAGCATTAGGGGTCATGGAACAATGACTGATGGCTCAGCAGGGGCAAAAGACACTGGATTTGCATTTTTAAAAGACCATCCTACTGCTGGGCGTGGTGGCTCACACCTGTAATCCCAGCACTTTGGGAGGCCAAGACAGGTCAGGAGTTTGAGACCAGCCTCGACAATGCGGTGAAACTGTCTCTACCAAAAATACAAAAGTTAGCTGGGCATAGTGGCAGGCACTTGTAGTCCCAGCTACTTGGGAGGCTGAGGCAGAATTGCCTGAACCCAGGAGGTGGAGGTTGCAGACAGCCGAGATTGCGCCATTGCACTCCAGCCTGGTTGGCAAAAGCGAAACTCCGTCTCAAAA